AGCACTGGAGAGCACACTTTTCCTGCGTCCTCGTTTTGGCCGCAACAATACCGGAGTTCCCCGATCGTCGTCTGAAATAATACGTTAACTATATTAAACAAACTATATCTCATCGTTATTGAATAAGAACAACAATTACGAATTAGATGCACAAAAAATAATTCATATATTTTAAAGAATTCCTAGAAAGTCCAATACATCTATACTGCTTCTCGCAGTACACGTAGGGAGTTCATAAGAACTCTCCCAAATCATTTTTTCTCTATTTAGTGATCTTTAATAAGAACAACCAGGAGCCGAATGTTATGACATAAATAGCATCCACTCTCCTCTGCATTATGCAGTTTCGAAAAGATAACTTTAATGAATTTTTCAATTTCCTTCGGCTAATTCCTTTCACACATGCTTAGTAACATGCAGCATTATAAAACACGAAATGAAAAAAGCAAGAAAACAACCTACTGCCGCCAACACCTAAAAACAGGGGCTGTAAAATGTCACTAAAAAAAAAAAACGATGCCACTTTACCAGTACGTCATACAAGTTTTTATTAACAAATAGCTCATATCGAAAATTTCCGCTAAAACTTCTGTCAAAGTATTCGATGGAACGAAGAGAGTAGGGAAAGCGACAGAAAGGATTCTTTTGAAACGAAAGCAAAACAACAGACGCAAGTACCATTTCCTGATCGTAGTAACACAGAATTTTTGTTGAAAACAACAGCAGCGTGTGATAACAAAGAATTACCAGAATCTTCCAGAAGTTCGGTTGAAGCAGCGCCGTTCCATTTTTTCGTTTGAAGAGTGGTATATATTTCAGCGACACGCCTCAGCAGCGTTTTTTCTTCAGGCCTGATGATCTGTAATGTGGTAGGATCGGACAATCACACAGTATCGGTGTATGTGCAGATACAAAAGACAATTTTTGCAACTCATTCAACTGAAGTTTTTCCAATAACCTTTTGAAAAGCTGGTTTGTTGACGATATTTGCGGAGATGTTGTCAAGGCCATTTTCGTCCACAACTTTGAACAATTCTTCGTCCTGCTCAACAGACCAACCACTAGGCATTGCCTCATTGGAGCACAGCTTTAATAATGCCCGCCGGTCTATGAGCGATTCACGCCAATCATGAATCTGACGCATCATATTCATTCGATGCATTAACTTTTTAGCTTTCCGAGCCGAAATTGATTCTACCTGAAGCAAAATTAGAAGGAAAATAACAAATAAACGATTCCGGGGTTGGGGGGAAACTGCCAATATGCGGATACTACCGTAATCGAACTAAATGTGCCTCATCAAGGAAGATAAAGCAGTGCTAAGAGGTATCGCTAATAACGGCAAGTTGCACTAGTTGGCCTTTTTCTACAAATATGCCCAATAAAGGCTGAAAAAAAATAAAATTCGTTGCTTCCTAAACAGAAAACAGTACGCTAAAAAAAAAGCCGTTTTTCATGCAAAGCAGTAACGAAACCTTCAAAGCTCGTTGTAAATCAACAGCA